ACCCGCGCACCCGCGCACCCATGCACCCACGCACCCACGCACCCACGCGCCCACGCGCCCACGCACCAACGCACCCACGCAACCACGCAACCACGCACGCACGCGCGCGCACGCGCGCACGCGCGCACGCACGCGCGCGCACGCGCACGCGCACGACGCGCACGCGCCCGCGCACGCGCACACACACACACGCACACGCACACGCACACGCACGCGCGCGCGCACACGCACACGCACCCGCACCCGCACCGGCACCCGCACATGCCCACGCGCACGCACAGGCACGCGCACGCGCACACGCACACGCACGCGCGCGCGCGCACGCACACGCACATAGACACGCACATACACACACTCACACACACACGCACAAACACACACGCGAACACACACCCAAACACACCGCGCACTTTTGGTCGAGAGCGCACCTCTTCCGGTCGAAGCTAAGCGGGCCGCGCGCAACTTTAATTAAGGAGAGGGGGGCGGAAGGGGGGGCCTCGCATCAAGGCCAGAAGGGGGCAAAGCCCTGGAATCAAGCAGCGCCGAGGACGATGCGCTTGCAAAGGAACGCCTTGGACAGGGGCCCGGCGGCGAAGTACCGGAAAAAACAAAATGCTGTGGTTGGTGGTGCCGTCAACGGCGCGTCGTGCACCAGACTCAAGTGGCGGCAGGAGAGGGCTCGCCTTGTATCCAAGAGGCGACGACCAGGGAAGGCAGGGAGCGCCGCTGAGCCGAAGTGCAACGTTGTGCCACCGAACAGGACGCGGGAGCGGGTGGCGGGCCGTGGTTGTCCAAGGTGCCGCACGCCCAGGGCGCGGGGGCCACCGTCTGAGGCGCGGCAGCCAGGACATGCCAGGCATATACCGCCTATAACGACCGACAGGGTGCCAGTGCGCTGCAGGGCGGGGGCCTGCCCTGCAGTGGCGAGCGCGTGGGATCGGGCCGAGGCCGCGCACTGCGTTGCCGTTGTCCGCGGCGCCCGGGGCCGGGTCGGGGCCGCGCTGCGCCCGGGGCCGCGGGGCCGCCGAGGCGGCGAGGTGCGCGCGAGCGGCCCCGAACGGGGAGGGGGAGAGCGGGCGGGGAGGAGAAGGGCCGACCAGTCGGGACAGCCAGCGCCAGGGCAGCCTCGCGCCGGCAGCAAGGCGCCACCGCCAGTTGCCGGAGGCAAGCGGATCCTGCGGAATCAGGGGGGACTAATTACCGTCCCATTTTCAAGTAAGAGGGAGGGGGGGGGGGGGGGTGCCGAAGGCGCCGAACAGGTCGCACTCGAAGAAAAGCGCCGTGATGCGTTGCCAGGGACAGGAGGGGCGGTTCGGACGTGGTGCCCGAGGTTAAGAGAACCGAGAGAAGCATTGAGGTGCGTCAGCGCTTGTGCGCTGTATTCCGTGCCGGTGTCCGTGGACCCGGAGCTGCGTAGCGAGCGGGCCGCCCCCCGCGCCCATTGTCTTTGGCCGTGTCCTGGTTCCGCCGGATTCCTGGTACAGGGCGTTTTCGCAGTCCCAGTCGATGTCGCAGTTGCCGCGGGATCAGGAGGGACTAACCGTCCCATTATCAGGTGTGTAGGAGGAGGGGGGGAGGGCGAGACAGGGCCAGGCGCTGTAAAAGGCGACGAACAGGTCGCACCCGAAGAATAGCGCCAAGAGGCCTTGCCAGGGACAGGAGGGGCGGTTGGTGCGGCACTCTGGGCGGCGGCGTCAGGGGGAGCGTTGAAGGCAAGTCAGCGCCTGGGGCGCTTCCCGGTCCAGTTGTCGGTGTACCCAGAGCTGGGCCGTCCCCGCGCCCCTCGCCTTTGGCTACCTCCCCCTTCCGCTGGAACTCCTGATGCAGGGTGTTTTCGCGGTCCCAGTCGACGTAGACGCCCGCGTTCTGGGTCCAGGTGCCCACGTCGTAGTGGCCACGTGCCATTTCATCCAGGAAGCGGTCGATCATGTCGGGCCTCCAGCAGGACAGGTCAAACTTGATTTGGTCCCTGGTCTTGCCGCTTTCCTGGCCCAAGTGCCTGCGCCAGGAGTGCCAGGCTGCGGTGAAGTAGTAGCCTCCCTCGGCCTTCAGTCTTTTCAGGTGGGTGGCCGCCGTCTCGTCTGGGCGTCTCGGCCAGCTGACGCGGCGGTCTTCCCAGTGGCGGTTGTGGTCAGGGCGGCGGCGCTCATCCTTGTTTTGTTCAGGGTTGTGGCGATCGTCGCTGCCAGGAGCCCCACCCTCCGCTCCTGTCGCGATCGCGGTCTCGGTCGCGGCCGCGCTCTCTAGCTCGGTCCCTGTCGCTGGTGTCTCTGGACGGGCGCCGAGCCGTGCTCTCGTATCGGTCCCAGAAACCCGGCTCACTCCCCCTGCCGCGCGCGCGACCGTACTTGAGCGGAGGATGGGAGTCGGGTGCGGTGCGCCCAGCTCCTGTGGCCGCAGTCTGGAGCGGTGTGCGCGGGGCGCGGTCCTGTGGCCGCAGTCCTGTGGCCGCAGTCCGTGGCCGCAATCCGGAGTCCTGTGGCCGCAGTCCTGTGGCCGCAATCCGGCCACCGTCGGCTTGCCCTGTCCCGTGGACCCGTCGGCCTGGCGGGCCTGGTGCGGCGTGTCGGTGCCGCGTTCAGGGCTGCTGCGCCGCACCTCCCGGGGGCTTGTCCCGATGTGGACCTGCCGATGTGCTCCAGGGTCTGGGAGGCCGTGTGGACTACGCCTGCGGCCTCCGCCAGCCTCTGAGCCTGTTCCTCCTCCTGGTCTTTGGAGGTGTACTCGGGGATCTCCTCCTTGGTGTGGTCGCACGGCGGCGGCTCGTGCGCGGGGTCCCGTGCGACCGCCCGTGGAGCGCGGGACTGGGGCCTGGACTTGGGCTGACCTCCTTCCGCGGACGCCGCTGCGACGGTTCCAAGGTCGGCGCCGAGCCAGGAGCTGGCAGGGGCCACTGGCGCCTGCGGTGCTTGTGCCTTGTCGGGGCCCCCCATCCAGGAAGGCGGCCGCGCGGCTCGCCGCACTGCCACGTAGGATGTACACACGCCACACACCACACACACACCACACACGGCACACACCATACACACACACCACACACACAGGCACACACAGGCACACACACAGACAAACACACACAGACAAACACACACAGACAAACACACACACACACACACATACACACACCACACACAACACACACAACACACACAACACACACACACAACACACACACACAACACACAACACACACAACACACACAACACACACACAGACACACACACACACGCACACACACACACACCCATACACACACACACACACGCAAAGAGCAATACACGGGGATGCGGAACAAAAACACAACACACCGAATCCCCTTGTGTGTGCGTGTGTGTGTGTGCTTTTGCGTGTGCTTTCCGCATCCCCTCTTCCGCATCCTGGTGTGTGTGTGTGTGTCTCCGCATGCGCGCGAGGCCGCGACCGCAATACGTTCGTTTTCCGCATCACCGTGTGTTTTTGTCCGCATCTCAGCGCGTGCTCCGCAAATCCATGCGTTTTCGTTCCATGTCCTCGCGCTGGCGTTGAGAACGATCTGCATGCATACGGCCTCGTGGTCGCAGCCAAGGTCTGGGATGGTGTTGGCGCGTGAATCGGTGAGTTGGTTACGACACGATATGACTAGGAGACACTAGACCTGAGGAGGGACAAGGGTAACAGCGAGCCCCTCCCGAACCCGAGCTGGTCCATTTTTCAGCGTCGTGGTTTTGCGCAGGTGACCGCGGCGACGGCGACGTCGGTGGCAAGACGGGGGCGGCGACGACAACGCGACAATGCGACGACGACTGCAAATCGCGATAAGACGACGGAGGCCACGAAGGCAGCGGCGACAGTGGTGCGACGACGACGGTGACGGCGGCGAGACGAGCGCGACGACTGCAAGACGACTGCGAACTGCCACCCGACACCTTCCCCCTGACAAGCCTATCATGCGCTGGACTGTCCATCCTGCGCTGCCTCCCGTCGGACCCTCGGCCGGCCACAAGGCCTGGAGGGCTCCAGAAATGGGGCTTAGGGCAGAGCAGGTTGGGCCGACCCCTGAGTTTTGACCCCTCTCCCACAAGCTGGAAAAGAAGCTAAACCCTGAGATCCGACGTCACGGAAAAACGCAGCATTGTGCAAACATTAAATTACCACAATGGCTCTGGACCTCACCTTGCCGTGGTATCTCTCGAGCCGGACCGATCCGCGAGGGGCCCTGGGGCCCGACATGTGCCGAGACCGCCCCGTGTGACGAGAGTGCAACGCCAGGATCTCAGGGGACGCCAAGGGTCGGCCCCAACCCCCCTGGGCCCCCCCGCCCTCTCTGAGGCCTTCCGGGAAGTCTGCGCTCGGGGGCTTCCAAGAGAGGGACGTTCACGAGAGGGGGCGCAACTCGTGGCCAGAGGCATGTGCGCGGCCCGGGAGGGGGCGTCAAGGGACGCCTTGAAACAGCAAGAAGCGCCATGAGATCCGGGAAGGTACCACGGCCCCCGCCATGATTTCTCCTCCCCCGGTCACATCACCCCCCTCTTGGCCGCCTCCGATCTGAAGCCCTTTTGCATTTGGAAGCCCGGAACGGGAACGGAAAGAATGGGCACAATACCCAACACCGAATGTTGTCCCAAACCACTAGGCGGCTGCTGTTGGGCAGGCGGCCCTTCTGTCTCGAGTGGACACAGGCCGCGGCGGCGTGGACAGCGAGTCCTGTTCAGAATGAAACCGATCCGCTGTTGGGCATTGTACCCAATCTTTCCGTGTCCGTGTCGTTCGTGCAGACATGAGATCTGGGAAGGTACCACGGCCCCGGCCATGATCTCCCCCCCCCAGTCACATCACCCCCCTCTTGGCCGCCTCCGATCTGAAAGCCCTTTTGCATTTGGACGCCCGGAACGGGTACGGAAAGAATGGGCACAATGCCCAACAACGAATGTTGTCCCAAACCAGCAGCGACTGCTGTTGGGCAGGCGGCCCTCTGTCTCGAATGCACACAGGCCGCGGCGGCGTGGACAGCGAGTCCTGCTCAAAATGAACAGGAACTGCTGTTGGGCATCACGAGGAGGAGGAGGAGGAGGAGGGGGAGGAGGAGGAGGGGGAGGAGGAGGAGGAGGAGGAGGAAGAAGAGGAGGAGGAGGAGGAGCCCCTCGTGGCCGCCTCCGAGGGCCCTTCTGCAGGTCTGCACGCGCGGTCCGGGGATCTCACCGGGCCCCCGGCGCCCCCGGCACCCGTCGGCTGCGCCCACACGGCGCCGGCGCGTGCGCGCCCGTGGGGGGCCTGGTCGGCCGCCCCAGCTGCTGCGCCGCGGCCGAGCTGTCTGTGCCCGTGCTGCGTCTCCCTCCGCCCTCTCCTCCTGCTCCTCCTTCTTGCCCCTCCTCCCATCTCCCTCCTCCTACTATTTTCCCCCTCCACCTCTTCGTCTCAAGTCTGCTCTCTCTCTCTCTCTCTCTCTTTCTCTCTCCATCCCTCATATCTCCTCCATCTTCGACTCCATACCATATCCATATTGGTTGTCCTCCTCATCCTCCCCTCCTCTTCATTCCCCAACTCCCCTGCACTCAAACTGCTCTGGCCCCCTCCCACCCTTGCACGTAAAAATCCCTCCCCCTTTCTCTGCTCATGTCCCGCCTCCTGCTGTCACTGCTGTCGCTGTCACTGCTGTCGCTGTCACTGCTGCTTCTCGTTATCTTCCTCCTCCTTCCGCCTGCCATTCCATCTTGCCCTCCCTTCCCCCCTGAGCTCCTTCTCTTCGCTCGTTCGATCGGGCTTGACATATGTCAAGCCCGGGTTCCGTTGAACCTGGCACGGCGAGACGTGCAAATGAATTCGGCGTGCAGGCCTGCAAGTGATGCTTGCTAGGCCCCACGCAAAGAAAAGCGTGCAAAGCCGAGAAGCCCCACAACCCACGAGAAGGCACAACATCTCGCCCTTCCCTCGCTCCCCTCTGCAATCCTGCACTCTTCCTCGTCTTCCTCCTCCTCCTCCTCCTCCTCCTCCTCCACCTCTTCCTCATCATCATCATCATCATCATCATCATCATCATCATCATCATCATCATCATCATCATGATCATCATGATCATCATCATCATCATCATCACCGTCGTCGTCAAGATCATCATCCTCATCATCATCACCACCATCCGCATCATTACCATCATCAACATCATCATCGTAATCGTCATCATCATCGTCATCGCCATCACCATGGTCATGATCGTCATCATGATCAGGATCATGATCATTCCCATTACCATCATCATCATCATCAGCAGCAGCAGCAGCAGCATCATCAGCATCATCATCATCATCATCAACGTCATCATTGTCATCATCACCATTACAAGCATCCCCCTCAACTACAACGGCATTATCAATATTCCGTCCTCCTCCTCCTCTTCTTCCCTGTCCTCCTGGCCTGCCTCCTCCCTCTTTTACATTGCACTGGCTTCTAACGAATGGCTGTAGCGATCGCCTCTTCCGCCTCCCCCTCCACCTCCTGTCTATTTTGTTTCTCCCCTCCCTCCTCCTCCTCCTCCTCCTCCTCCTCCTCCTCCTCCTCCTCCTCCTCCTCCAGCCCTTGAGCTCCGACATGACGATCGACGCCGTCCTCCAGCCCTCGCGCACCCAGACATCCGCGCGCACGGCATGGACAACTGTGAGCAACGCTCCCCCGCGCGCGGCGGCGCATGTGCGTGGCAGCGCAGCTGGCCACACGTCATGCTCCTGAGACCTCGCCGTGCTTTCCCTCGGAGCTGCAGAACAAGTCGTCCACTGCTCTGACCATCTCGATGCGCCCGAAACTAATCTGGAGCGCATGTTCTGCGGCAACTCATGGGGCCCTCCCATACTGCGTGGCTGTTGCGAATCGACGCTATTCGACGCCAGTCGATGCTAAATCGGCGTTAACACATCGGTTACCAAACGCTACTAGTGTACTCTAAAAACGGGTATCAACACGTAGACTGGCAAAGTAGGTCTGGCAGGATACGTTTGCCAACATGTGGACCAACATGTGCCGAGCCGACACACACACACACCGCATTAACACGGACGTGTTGAACACGGTACGTGTTGCGTTTCAAAACGGGCACATCAGGGCAGCTCAGGTCTGACGCTTGAGCAGCATCGCGACCCTGGGGGGTGCTGGCTGGGGGTGAGGGTGGTTCCTGGCCCCAAAGAACCCAACAACAAAACATCTCCCCCCCCCAGCCAGGATCCCCTGGATCACCACTTTGGGAGTAGGGGATCCCGCTGGGGGGGGGGGGGCTGTCCCCCAGCCAGTCTGGAGCGCTAGAGCAACATCTCGACCCCCCCCATCTACCTTTTGCGTCCGCGTCCAGGGCCTCGCAGGCCACACGCGTCGAAGCGTCGAAGGCTTCACTTTCTAGCCTCTCTAGGAGGCACAGTGCACGAAGCTCTGGCGCCATCCTCCCGACAGGCCACCCCAACCAAATGCGCCGCCACCACATCGGCCTCGCAGGCCACGAGCGTCGAAAGCTTCACCTTCTAGCCTCTTGAAGAGGCGCAATGCACGAGGCTCTGGCGTCATCCTCTCGGCCAGCCTCCCAAACCAATCGCGACGCCCTTTCATCCAGGATAAGTCAGCATCGAATTGGTAAATCGGGTCGAGCCGAAATGTGCATCGGGCTGCATCTGCACGGAATCGAAAGCGAATCGAATAGGTTGCGCTAGGATGCACAACGACGCAGTGCAAACATCGGGCCGCATCGGACCGTCGGCATCTCGAAATCGAATCCGATCTGCATAAACATTAACGTTTGGAGGTCCGCGCGGATTTCTTGGATCCGCGCTGGACCCCCCTCCCTGGCGGGCGGAGCGCGCCAGGGGCGGCGCTGGAGGCGCCGCCAGAGGCCTCCAGTCAATCCGAGAAATCCGCGCTGACCCCCGAAAAGGCTATGTTTATGTTATTGTGCTCCGCGATACCATCCAACGCCCAGCGCGGCCATACGTCTCCTGGTGTTCAAGGCGCAGTGCAAGAGGCTATGGCGTCATCCTTCTGACCGAACTCCCCAGCCAATCGCGCCGCCCCACTCTCCAGGATCAGTCAGCATCGAATCGGCAGATCGGATCGAGCCGGAGTATGCACCGGATCGGGCGGCATCGGCACGGAATCGAAATCGAATCGGACCGGCTGCGCCAAGATGCGCGACAACGCCATGCAAGCATCGGGCCGCATCGGACCGTGGGCATCTCGGGTGTCCAACGCAGCCACGCGTCTTCCGCCGCGCTCTCGGCTAGGCGTCAGCTGCCCGGACGCTCCAGCCCTCCCCGGGAGCCTTCCCGGGCGGCCCGCTCCCGGCGCCCGCTGCGGCGCCTCCGGTGGCGGCTTCTGCTCTGCCAGGGAGGTTCCCGCTGGTTGCCGCGCTGGCGGCGGCTGCTGTTCACAATGTACGCTCTGCGTTATGTTGCCCATCCGTGGGTGCAGCAATACTGCCGTGGTCCATGGGATGAGGCACCCAGCGCCTCACCTGCCAGCGTGAGCTCGCAGCTCTGGAGCGAGCGGCGCAGACAACCAGATCGCGTGACCCAAAGCGGGCCGACAGGATTTGGAGCGTGGGCAGGGAGGCAAGCTGGCTGCCTTACCATCTCTCTGCTCTCACACTCCTTCCTCCTCCGCCCTCCATCCTCCATCAACCCTGCTCCCTCTTACCATCCACTTTTCCTCCTCCAACTCTTCCCTTCACAGTGTTCAAGGCGGGGGCCTAATTAGTGGCCCTTACCACCTCTTCACGATTGCGCTGCGGGCCTTACGGCAGCAGACGCTACCCCCGCTGGAACACGGCCTGCACCCACGAGCACACGCTCGAGAGCTGTGCGCTTTGTACAAAAGGGGTATGCAGCAGCCGCGGTCATCAGACACGCCCCTCCTGGCTGGAAGCTTGGGGCACCTGGCGAGGCAAGTGGGCGACTTTGAGGAATCACACTGGGGAGTGATCCTGGGGAGTCGTCCAGGCAATCGTCATCCTCGGGGGAATCGGGGAGGGGGGGGTACCATCCATGGGAATCGCCCCTGACTTGCGGAGCCACCGCTGCTGTGGGGGTGTTCATTCATTCACCTATAATGGTGAATATTTTTCCGCTGGCCATCCTGGAAGCCCCAAGACATTTTCTGAGTGAAGTTGAATGTCTCCATCAGCCAGAACTGCTGGAAGAGCCCAATCAAACAGAGTCGGTGGAGCACCCTGGCACAGCATCGTGTGGTACGTGCCGCCCAGACGCCACAAAGAGGCCCAGTCTGTAACCCACCCGAGACGCCACATGCAATGACAACCTGACAATTTGACACTTGTTTCAGGTTGTACCCTTCTGAACCGAAAGTGGCTTCCGAAGGCATCAGGCGCTCAAGAAAAATCCCCAAGACCAGGGGTGGTCTGCGGACTCTCCAACCCTTCCAATCATACTAAAGCCATCGCGCGATTTCAAGTTCGATATATCGGAGGTTGGGGGGTGAGCCCGACGTGAAACGGAGACCCCCCCTACCGGGAAGTCGATTTCAGTTTCGGGTTCGTGTCGTGCGTGGGCGGGCGAGCAGAAATCCTCCTGTGGCTGGGCCGCGGCCGGACCAAATGTTTCTCCTCCGGCGGCCGGTGGCCCGCGGTGTCCCGCCGGTGTCCCGCTGGTGTCCCGAAATCCTCCTGTGGCTGAGCCGCGGCTGGACCAACTGTTTCTCCTCCAGCGGCCGGTGGCCCGCGGTGTCCCGCCAGTGTCCCGCTGGTGTCGAGTGCGCTTCGCCAACATCGCCACATCACATCACGCTCACGTGCACAATCACACTACTCACTAGACTCCGCCCCGCAGGCATCGTCAGAACAACAATCACCACTTTTGCCCATTGCTGCCGCTCCCCCCAACCTCCTTATCACCCGCAGGGTGGACGTACAGGTGCATATATATATATATATATATATATACCTATACGACCACCCTTCGGGTGATAAGGAGGTTCGGGGGGGGAGGAACCAACGTCTTACTCGATCGGTCTCACTATCGATCTTACGATCGATCTCACTATCGGTCTCGCTCGATCGATCTCACTCGATCGATCTCACAATCGATATCACTCGATCTATTTCATTCGATCGACCTCACAATCGATAACCGGGGATGGACAAACCTCCCTTTAGTAAAACGTGGCTTCGTGAAAACGACCTCGGGCCCAAACCTGGCGGGCGCAGGCCTGGAAAATGACGGCCGCGGCGCCCTCTCGAGAACCGAAAACGGACAATTCACTAATCGACGTGTCACTGTTCGGGGTTCTGTCCACCCCCGAAAAAAACTATCGATCTCACTATCGATCTCACTATGGAGCTCACAATCTATCACACAATCGGTATCAGTATCGATATCACTATCGATATCATAATCGATCTCACAATCAATGTCATCATCATCATCGACATCATCGTCATCGACATCATCATCATGACCCCGTCCGCAGCATCACCTCATCGCCATCATCATCAACATCATCATCATCGCCATCATCATCATCGGGACAGCATCATCGTCACCAACACCATCAACATCATCATCGGGGCACCATCATCATCATGATCGGACCACCACCATCATCATCATCATCTCACCATCATCTTCATGAAGAACATCGTCAACAACATCATCATAAGGGATACCATCATCATCATCAGCAACATCATCATCACCATCATCATCATCATCGAAGCACCATCATCATCGTTACCATCATCAACACCATCAACATGCGCATCGGCACACCATCATCATCATCATCGCCATCATCATCATTCACATCAGCATCATCACCGGGCCACCAACATCACAATCACCATCACCTCACCATAACCCCCATCATCAACACCATCATCATCATCTGCAACATCAGAACCATCAAGATCATCATCATCATCATCATCATCACCATCGGGACACCAGCATCATCACCATCATCATCGAGCGCATCATAACCAACCTCATCATCATCATCGGGGCACCATCATCATATTCATCCTCATCGTCATCTCATCATCATCAAAAACTTCATCACCATTAACATCATCATCATCGGGACACCATCATCATCAGCAACATCAACATCATCAACATCATCACCATCGGGACACAATCATCATCACCACCATGGCCATCATCATCACCATTATCCGGACACCATCATCGTCACCATCATCATCACCAACATCATCATGATCGGGACACCATCACCATCATCATCGGAACACCACCATCGTCATCATCATCTATCATCATCAGCATGAACACCATCATCAACAGCATCATCATCGGGACACCATCATCATCATCATCATCATTATCATCATCATCATCGGAAGCATCATCCTCACAAGAATCATCCTCATCGGGGCACCATATCACCAACATCATCACCAAAATCATCACAACATCAACATCGTCATCATCAACACCATCATCATCATCATCATCATCATCATCATCATCATCATCATCGTGACACCGACGGGACACAAGCGGGACACCGGCGGGACACCGCCGGGCACGGGTTGCCGGAATTGAGACTTTTGGTCCGGCCGCGCCTCAGACAGAGGCTGGACATTTCTCGCCCGCCCACGCAGTTTCGCCTCGCCCGCACGTACGGCACGCACGAACACGAAACCGAAACCGATTTCCCTGTTGGGGGGCTCTCCGTTCCACTTCGATCTCACCCCCATCACCACCTTTTTCTAATATATATATATATACATATATATATATAACTATACTTATGTATGAATGTATGTATGTATGTATGTATGTATGTATGTATGTATGTATGTGTATATATATATACACCTATACCTATACGACCACCCTTCGGGTGATAACGAGGCTTTCTTGGGGGGGTAGGAACCAACGTCTCACTCGATCGGTCTCATTAACGATCTCACTATCGATCTCACTATCAGTCTCGCTCGATCGATCTCGCTCGATCGATCCCACAATCGATCTCACTCGGTTTACTTCATTCGATCGATCTCACAATCGATCAGACGATCGATCTCGCAATCGATCTCACTGTCGATCTCACTATAGATCTCACAATTTATCTCACATTCGGTTTCACTATCGATCTGACTATCGATATCACAATCGACCTCACAATCAACGTCATCATCATCACCATCGGGACACCATCATCATCATCATCACCTCATCACCATCATTCATCAAAAGCACCAGCATCACCATGATCATCATCATGGGACACCATCATCGTCACCATCATCATCGTCAATATCATCATCGTCGGGACACCATCCTCATCATCATCATCATCATCATCATCGGAACACAACCACCATCATGTCATCATCATCTTCATGAACAACATCGTCAATATAATCATCATCGGAACACAATCATCATCATCAGCAGCATCATCATCATCATCAACATCATCATCATCATCATCATCGGGGCACCGTGCTCATCGTGAGCATCATCATCACCATCATCATCATCATCATCTTCATCGGGACACCATCATCATCAACATCAGCATCATCATCACCATGATCGGGCCACCACCATCAAAATCATCACCATCACCTCATCATCACACGCATCACCAACATCATCACCATCGGGACACCATCATCGTCATCATCGGGACACCATCATCATCATGACCATCATCATCAAGAGCATCATCATCAACATCATCATCAACACCGGGACACCATCATCATCATAATCATAATCATCATATCATCATATCATCATCATCAACATCCCCAGGATCATCAACATCATCTTTATCATCGGGACACCATCATCATCATTGTCACCATCATCATCATCATCTTCAGAACAACATCGTCATCATCATCATCATCATCATCATCATCATCGGGACACCATCATCATCACCACCATCACCATCACCATCACCATCATCATCATCATCAACATCAACATCAACATCAACATCAACATCATCATCATCATCATCATCATCATCATCATCATCATCATCATCATCATCATCATCATCATCATCATCATCATCATCATCATCGGGACACCGACGGGACACCAGCGGGACACCGGCAGGACACCGCGCGGCAACAATTGCCGAAGGGGATCATTTGGTCCGGCCGCGCCTCAGCCACAGCTGGACACCGGCGGGACACCGCGCGGCACCAGTTTCCGGAAGGGAATCATTTGGTCCGGCCGCGCCTCAGCCACAGGAGAGTTTCCTCTCGCCCGCCCACGCAGCTTCGCCTCGCCCGCGCGCACGGCACGCACGAGCACGAAACCGAAATCGATTTCCCTGTAGGGGGGCTCTCCGTTCCACTTCGATCTCACCCCCTCACCTCCAATATACACACAGGTGCCACAGCATAGCGCGGAGCACAGGTAGTGCCAGAATATTCTAAAACCACATGGTGTCGATGG